TCACACGTTAATCTGTGCTTGTGGTAATGTAGCACATCCATGCTTTTCCAACTGTCTCAATATCACACGTTAATCTGTGCTTGTGGTAATGTAGCACATCCATGCTTTTCCAACTGTCTCAATATCACACGTTAATCTGTGCTTGTGGTAATGTAGCACATCCATGCTTTTCCAACTGTCTCAATATCACACGTTAATCTGTGCTTGTGGTAATGTAGCACATCCATGCTTTTCCAACTTTCTCAACATCACACGTTAATCTGTGCTTGTGGTAATGTAGCACATCCATGCTTTTCCAACTGTCTCAATATCACACGTTAATCTGTGCTTGTGGTAATGTAGCACATCCATGCTTTTCCAACTTTCTCAACATCACACGTTCATCTGTGCTTGTGGTAATGTAGCACATCCATGCTTTTCCAACTGTCTCAATATCACACGTTAATCTGTGCTTGTGGTAATGTAGCACATCCATGCTTTTCCAACTTTCTCAACATCACACGTTAATCTGTGCTTGTGGTAATGTAGCACATCCATGCTTTTCCAACTGTCTCAATATCACACGTTAATCTGTGCTTGTGGTAATGTAGCACACCCGTGCTTTTCCAACTCTCTCAATATCACACGTTAATCTGTGCTTGTGGTAATGTAGCACATCCATGCTTTTCCAACTTTCTCAATATCACACGTTAATCTGTGCTTGTGGTAATGTAGCACATCCATGCTTTTCCAACTGTCTCAATATCACACGTTAATCTGTGCTTGTGGTAATGTAGCACATCCATGCTTTTCCAACTTTCTCAACATCACACGTTAATCTGTGCTTGTGGTAATGTAGCACATCCATGCTTTTCAACTGTCTCAATATCACACGTTAATCACACGTGCTTGTGGTAATGTAGCACATCCATGCTTTTCAACTTTCTCAATATCACACGTTGATATGTGCTTGTGGTAATGTAGCACATCCATGCTTTTCCAACTGTCTCAATATCACACGTTAATCTGTGCTTGTGGTAATGTAGCACATCCATGCTTTTCCAACTTTCTCAACATCACACGTTAATCTTGTGGTAATGTGGTAATGTAACTGTCTCAGTATCATCCATGCTTTTCCAACTTTCTCAATATCACACGTTAACTCACACGTTAATCTGTGCTTGTGGTAATGTAGCACATCCATACTTTTCCAACTTTCTCAACATCACACGTTAATCTGTGCTTGTGGTAATGTAGCACATCCATGCTTTTCAACTCTCAATCTCAACATCACACATCCATGTTAATCTGTCACACGTTAATCTGTGCTGGTAATGTAGCACATCCATGCTTTTCCAACTTTCTCAACATCACACGTTAATCTGTGCTTGTGGTAATGTAGCACATCCATGCTTTTCCAACTTTCTCAACATCACACGTTAATCTGTGCTTGTGGTAATGTAGCACATCCATGCTTTTCCAACTGTCTCAATATCACACGTTAATCTGTGCTTGTGGTAATGTAGCACATCCATGCTTTTCCAACTTTCTCAACATCACACGTTAATCTGTGCTTGTGGTAATGTAGCACATCCATGCTTTTCCAACTGTCTCAATATCACACGTTAATCTGTGCTTGTGGTAATGTAGCACATCCATGCTTTTCCAACTTTCTCAATATCACACGTTAATCTGTGCTTGTGGTAATGTAGCACATCCATGCTTTTCTAACTGTCTCAATATCACACGTTAATCTGTGCTTGTGGTAATGTAGCACATCCATGCTTTTCCAACTTTCTCAACATCACACGTTAATCTGTGCTTGTGGTAATGTAGCACATCCATGCTTTTCCAACTGTCTCAATATCACACGTTAATCTGTGCTTGTGGTAATGTAGCACACCCGTGCTTTTCCAACTGTCTCAATATCACACGTTAATCTGTGCTTGTGGTAATGTAGCACATCCATGCTTTTCAACTTTCTCAACATCACGTTAATCTGTGCTTGTGGTAATGTAGCACATCCATGCTTTTCCAACTTTCTCAATATCACACGTTAATCTGTGCTTGTGGTAATGTAGCACACACCATGCTTTTCCAACTGTCTCAAACTATCACACGTTAATCTGTGCTTGTGGTAATGTAGCACATCCATGCTTTTCAACTGTCTCAATATCACACGTTAATCTGTGCTTGTGGTAATGTAGCACATCCATGCTTTTCCAACTGTCTCAATATCACACGTTAATCTGTGCTTGTGGTAATGTAGCACATCCATGCTTTTCCAACTTTCTCAATATCACGTTAATCTGTGCTTGTGGTAATGTAGCACATCCATGCTTTTCAACTTTCTCAATATCACACGTTGAATCTGTGCGTGGTAATGTAGCACATCCATGCTTTTCAACTTTCTCAATATCACACGTTAATCTGTGCTTGTGGTAATGTAGCACATCCATGCTTTTCAACTTTCTCAATATCACACGTTAATCTGTGCTTGTGGTAATGTAGCACATCCATGCTTTTCCAACTTTCTCAACATCACACGTTAATCTGTGCTTGTGGTAATGTAGCACATCCATGCTTTTCCAACTGTCTCAATATCACACGTTAATCTGTGCTTGTGGTAATGTAGCACACCCGTGCTTTTCCAACTTTCTCAACATCACACGTTAATCTGTGCTTGTGGTAATGTAGCACATCCATGCTTTTCCAACTGTCTCAATATCACACGTTAATCTGTGCTTGTGGTAATGTAGCACATCCATGCTTTTCCAACTGTCTCAATATCACACGTTAATCTGTGCTTGTGGTAATGTAGCACATCCATGCTTTTCCAACTGTCTCAATATCACACGTTGATATGTGCTTGTCGAGATAATGAAGCACATCCATGCATTTACAAACTGCTTCAATATCACACGTTAATCTGTGTTGTGGCAATGTAGCACACCCATGCATTTCCCACTGCCTCGATATCACACGTTGAACGCCAGTACATATCACAGTCCAAGGATTTCTACACACAATATTTCCCAAAAGCCCACATTTATGGAAAGTATGTTTGACTGAGTGTGTTTGACTGTTTGGTCTTACATTCTGCGGAATTCGAGATTTAGTGTGACTCGATCGGTTGGAAGTTACCATATAGACTGGTTCCTGCCATGAATTACGGTGTGTTCCTTTATATTCATTCGACAGCACGTTTCTAACAAAAGTTGTATTGCTGTTGTGTTTGTTGCAGCTACTGTATAAAATGCGCAGTTGCAGCTACATGTTTTTCACGACCAGATGTATGAAGTACGTGACGTGGCAGCAGATCACATCGCGGTCAGCGACAGCGACGTCGTCTACAAGAACCAAAGTGGGACGTTGAGTCTCACAGAGACTCGACATGCTTCAGTTCATTGACCTCGGCCCCCTTGATGCCCACGTATTTACCTACATGTATACAGGTAAATGCTTATCTTTGATGTGTCCCCAGCGGGCAGGTAGTTTTTCTCAGACTCTCGTCTCAAGTCGTTAATTACAGGTGTAGCCTTGACAGTAATTCATGTAAACATGCTGTCATTCTAGGGGGTTGCATGTAGACATCATGCCGTCTTGGAAACCTGACATTATACACATACGTAAACTAGACGTTCCTGTTCATTTCCAGGATGATGTGACCCGTACAACGGAAATAAACGTTTTGTATGATTTGGAGCAGCCGCGACAAGAGTGCAACTGAATCCTAGGCCTCCTGTTTGGCACAGCGAACGTATTCGTACGACTAAAATACGTCTGTAATACGGTATTGTTACTGTAACTGTCCTGTTGTCCCTGTTGCTTGGCGAAGGCGGACACCTGGGGACACCGGGGACATGAAGGAGGACACCTGGGGACACCGGGGACATGAAGGAGGACACCTGGGGACACCGGGGACATGAAGGAGGACACCTGGGGACACCGGGGATATGAAGGAGGACACCTGGGGACACCGGGGATATGAAGGAGGACACCTGGGGACACCGGGGACATGAAGGAGGACACCTGGGGACACCGGGGACATGAAGGAGGACACCTGGGGACACCGGGGATATGAAGGAGGACACCTGGGGACACCGGGGATATGAAGGAGGACACCTGGGGACACCGGGGACACCTGGGGACATGAAGAAGGAGAACACCTGGGGACACCGGGGATATGAAGGAGGACACCTGGGGACACCGGGGACATGAGTTAGAAGGAGGACACCTGGGGACACCGGGGATATGAAGGACGGACACCTGGGGACACCGGGGACATGAAGGAGGACACCTGGGGACACCGGGGATATGAAGGAGGACACCTTGGGACACCGGGGACATGAAGGAGGACACCTGGGGACACCGGGGATATGAAGGAGTACACCTGGGAACACCTAGGGTCACGAATGGGGACACCTGGGTCCACTCGCAGTATGTATTCAAGAAGGTCCTTTCACTGGGTACGTTGCAGGACTTCCGTCTTTCGTCATTAGAAGAACACCTTACTATACACTCGCCTACTAAACACCCGTCCATCAACTGGGTCGACATGGACATTTCCTTGCACAGTCGTCCTTGATTGGGAGTCTAGGACAGTGCGAGATATCCTGTGGTGTCTGTAGGACGTATTGTGTGCTGTCAGTGAGACTCTGGTGATTGCTGGACTGTGGGGCTGATCCCGTAGTGCCTGTAGGGCTTATGGTCCAGATTCGTATTCCAGTACGTATACATGCAACTTTGGTGCGTACGTACGACGTTACAGAAATGAATGTGAGGAGTGCATGTCGACACTAAGTCAATAACACGTACATAATCTGTGGTCTCAAGCTGAGAGCCGGGAACACTGAGATACACTGATGGTGTGTTCAGTTGGGGAAATCAAGGCAGGAATCAATAACACTCCAATATGCAGTCTCTAAAGCCTCTAGAAACATGCCCAGCACTGTACATGAACCGAGGATACCTGTAATAACCGTCGGTGCTTGGTGAACATAAACAAACATGTCAATGTATTCAAGTGGATTCAAGATTTATTAAATTGAATAAGTTAGATTTACATGGCATACATTCATGGAATTCGTTCAAGACCAGTGAGAGGCACAGGCACATGTAATGGCACAACGAACAGAACTTCCGGTCTCACAGAGACTTATATACATTACATAAACACTCATACGTTCAGTCACGCATACAGTCACACATACAGTCACACGTTCAGTCACACATTCAGTCACACATACAGTCACACGTTCAGTCACACATTCAGTCACACATACAGTCACACGTTCAGTCACACGTTCAGTCAAACGTTCAGTCAAACGTTCAGTCACAAAGCACATCACACATGCACCAGGAGAGCCTCTGAAGACAACGCCATTACCAATGTCGCCTAAAGGCGTTTTCATCCGTTTACCATTGCAGCATTCACATTTACGCCTTATAAATACAGTATAAAAGTACAAAATATGAGACAAGACATTCATGAAATGGACGGAAAGCGCTCTGTGTATTGCACTGCCCTTTAACAAGATAGGTGGGACGTGGTGGCGCGTTGTTGCGCCGTTGATGAAACGGGAATTATAGAAATATTGAGAAAACTGCTCAATTTCACAATCTAACCAATCTTGGCTGAAAGAATACCCTGGTGTGGTCCACATTAAAGCTCACAGTGTTATCATTCAACTAACATTGTGCTCGTATATGTACAAACCATCGCAATGTCGACTTTCCCACAAAGACCAATACCAAAACTATCATGAATGAGATTTCTGTGTTACAAAAGTAACCAAAATACCACGATAACCTTAACAATGTCCAGCATTGCTTCCTGTAAATGACTAGAGCGGTTCCTGAGGAGATTCCTCACATCGCTGTGCATGGATACATCAGATCTGAGTACCACATTGTCTTTGGTATCATTGTCATTGTCCGAACGGAGGTCACATCAAATGCGAATATGCATCGTCGTTGCCACGCAACAATATCCTTGATCGCGATGGTGGATTGCGTTACAGTGTCCACGTTTTGGTCGCGACTGGTTCAACCGCAGATCCCCATCTAGGTTTGGCAGTGGATGTCCAGTCTGCGATGGGTTCATCAATAGAGGGAACTGTCCTGAGTTCAGTGTTTACTTGGAACTGTAAAGTGTGTAGGTGTTTCGGATTTCGTCGTAGATGAAGTTTCACAAACCTGGAAATAAATATTACATGATAAGTGACAATAACGTATATTATGTACCTGAGACTCATTTTAACACAAAATGTACCCTTTGTTGCTTGATTTTTTCTTTAAAGTACAGACGTGAATATTGCATTTTACAATGTCTCTCGTTATAAATGAAACACATACCTTTGCAGAGCGATGTCAAAACGTCCTCTTTAGAGATTTCCAGTTCGCCGTAGCTAGGGACAATGATTATGTTGTCATTTCCGTTACTGATAAGTTTAAGGTCGCTCTTGTTGTAATCATCACCAATGTACACAACATAGGTGTCGATCTTCCTGAATTTATTCCGTTTCGCCTCTTTGAATACTGCAGGAGTTATGCGAACGTTAGAATCCATAAACACCACAGCTGTCTTCTGTACGGATTGTCTGCCCTTAGTCAAGGCTCTCCTCGCTCGACGCAAGACGGCACTAAAATCAGGAAAGGCAACTCTGTCCATTTCCTGTTCCGTCTCCGTGACATCTGTGAGCTTGTTGCTGAGGACGCCGGTTGATACTGGACGATTGAGGAGAAGGGCGGTTTTGAGGTTATCGCTGTGTTCAAAGTCGCTGAACAGGCTGTCGATGAAGGCGAGGATGCGTTTTGATTTGACAGCACCGATGTGCAGGTGATCTACAGCAAACACCATGTCGACTTTCCGTTTCGGACTGCAAGCTGAACAAGAAACAGTCCATTAGTTTCATTATGGATGAAAATATAATTCAACTGGGATACACATTGATATAGCATGAAGACTGTATATACTAGGTATAGTTATGCTGTACCTTATGACCTTGAACTGCACGACGTGCTTGAGGGTATATTACCGACCTTGACTAAACTACATAATTTGGTACAGAAGCAAACGATGCTCTAAAAATATGGCATACCTGCTTCAGGCTCCGCAGCTGGGGGATGGATCTGATCTGTTGAACACAAAGAGATAATTGCATGAGTTTTTATGACCATGAGTATTAATTCAAATGATGACATTGCAAAATGCTAATTCCTCTAAAAAGTTTCCTCCCATGCTACACAATGTGACAGAAGCAACACTACAATTAGCATACCTCGAGGGCACGGACCGAGTTGTTTACTCCCTACCAAGTATATTGAAATTTACCCATGCATCAAAGGCGAAAAGAGAACAGGTTCTTTCAAGCGTGTCCTGATTGCTTGTTGTAATACTTACAATCACATTCGTGAATCTTCAGCAGCCTGATCAGAGGGTCGATGATGATGTAGTCGTCGGAATTGAAGACGAAGTCGCTTGCAGGGTTGGAGGCCATTCCTGTCAGCTCGGACTTGTCCCATCTTCCGCCTAGGTTGACCGTGAACACATAGACTCCCGCCTTTTTAAGCAACCTGGCCTCAATCCTAGTTGCCATGGCGTTGTGAGAAAATCCGTTAGTCATGAAGATGACAACATGCGCCACGCTCTGCCTCGCCACGGCAGGGGCGAAGGCGGTTCGTCTGAGATAGTCCAACGTCTTCGCATGGTCCCTCTGGCCCCCGACCCTGGGTGTGATGTCGATGGCTTTCTTGAAATCATGAGGATTTTTGTAACTGCCGAGTCGGATTGCAGTCAAAGAGTTACTTCCGGAGGAAACTACCCCAAGTCTGACGGTGTTCTGGCCCAGATAAAACAGAGACGACAGCTCTTTGAAATAACGCTTTTGAAGATCGATCTCCTCCTGGGTGACATCACGTGACGTATCCATCACAAGGTAGACATCGGCCGGCTTTCCTCCACAACCTGGGAACAAACAATAGGTCAATATACATGGAGGCAGTTCATGGTGTATCTCGTTTACATTTGTACATATACTTCTTAAAGTACACTTTCATGTGGCTACAGATGATTCGTGTCGTGAGAGTTTAACTGTAGCAATGTGAAAGAAACGGGTACTCATTGTTAAAGGCCAACGACTTCATCCATGTAATTTAGTGAACATCCTGCTACCTGCGTCTGATCTACACCTGGTAATGTTACTGCAGGGGGCAAGAGGCGAAACTGTCTGTCAGTTGCAAAAATATATAGATTTCTTCCAAGAGTCACGGGCTCTGATGTGGCAGGTTCGGCCTGTTGTAATACGTATAATGTACTATGTTGTATCCACATACTGATTAATTCATGCCAATGTGCTTCTGTCTCATGAAAAAGGGCAGTTTATGAAATGTTCAGACATAAAACAAAACTCGGAGGTTGTAATGAGATCTGGGACAAGTGAGATGAGTCGGTAGATTGCAATCAGATCAAGGGTACGAGATGGGGCTGGAGGAACATCTGAGATAAAAGGGTTTAATATTGATAAGATCAAGGGTACAACCAAAGCGAATCAAAGATATATATAACATTGATGAATAAATTATGACGTCCTACTGTTATCCTATCTGATGTTTTCCTTTGAAAATATACATTTGTTTTTCTTCGAACTCAAACAACCATAACAGATGTTCCTAGACTGGACAGATAACTGAATTCTATTTTGTTGCACACCAACATTCAAACAAACACTACTGTTCCTTAACTTACCTCTCGGTACGCTGTGCGCCTGGTCGTCGTAGGCGAAGTTCCCAAACCAGCCGTGGGGATCGCTTTGCATGAGGAAGTCGTCATAATCTGGAGCAAAAGACAGGTTTATAAATAGCAATTCAATACATACCCCATTCGTCTCCACGTTAATAAATAGTTTCTATATTTAGACTGCTATTATGTTTGGCCTCGACTGGAATGTGTAATATTCAAGTAGAACATTATTAACAAAACCCCGCTGCATCACAGAAAAGCAATGCTACACAAGGGTGTTGAGAGGAGAGTTTAATTTGTATAGATTGAAACATGTGTATGGTATAATAAAATAGTTTAAACAAACTTATGAAAGTTTAAGGACTTACCTAGTGCTTTTGCTGAGCTTGTTGCCACCTGAAACATAAGGCAGGACATTGTAGAGGTTAACACGTGTACAGGTATACAATCCATGCCATTAACTGTAGCGGAATTTACAACCTAACACAGGAAAGGTATGTCAAATATTTCCCGTCAGCTGAGAGGCATGTTCACGTGGGTGTCGTTACCTAAAGAAGCATTTATAGATATATCATTACCGACATTGAGACAAACCACAAGATTTAGTGTATGAACTATTTAAACACCAGCTACAGCACACAACAGATGACAGTTTACCAACTCACCATGCAGGCACATAGAATTAGGGCGAGAATGTGTTCCATTTTGAATAACCGGCTCACTAGTATAGCTTGTAAAGAATGTAATCTCGTTCCGCTAGGGGTGTATCTCGTCTTTCGACACTCCAGTGTCTAGCGTTGTCACAGTGAGAATGACTTGGATAGACTCGGCCTCGTATTTATGTAGGACGCCGGTCCAATGATTTCCCGTAAGGCGGGGCTTGCTTGGCGACCACGCACTTCGCTTACAGTTTACATCACGCGCTACCGAGCAGTAGTAGCGAGTCCTAATATGGCAGTTCCGTATCCGGTATCTATGGCAACCAGGAGTGATGCTCGCCAATGGGATTGCCGCCTAAATTTCTCAGACATGAACCTTTCATTCATAAGTCTGGAACGGAAACCAGAATCGGAAAATAGACTTTGCGCTCACAGTTTGCCCGAGTTCCTGCGTTACAAGTCGTTAAACAATGTGGTTATATTTAGAATTCAGCCGCAATTTCATTCCTCTGCGCATTTAAAATTCCTATCTGCAACCACTGTGACGTCGTTAACCATCTCTGTAGAGGACATCATCACGCACCACCACCCTACACATAATGTTGTCGCATGGGTAGATATACATTATATCAACCGATAAACAGCTGACAGCCCAGTGATTTTGATGATGTAAATTTCTTTCCTTGGCAGCAACAACAATAGCTCGCAGACCATTATTCCCAGCCATAAACTCAGACAAAATATAAATAGCTTTGTTGAGTATTTGACAACATAACATTTTTATGAGGATGGATTTCATATCGTGTTTAAAGGGGAAAGTATTTTCACATCGTGCATTTTGTCATGCTTGAAATCTTTCCCATGAGTTTTAACAGCAAAGATATGCAAACCACGTAGTTATATCTAATTCCTCCAGTCAAACTGCCGTGTTCCACCTGCTTGACGAGAGATGACAACCAAACACGTTCTTAAGTGTCCTTACACGTTTCGATTCACAGTCTGAACATTATTGTTTCAGCAACTGTTTTCAAGTTCCATTAATATTTACCATCAGCAGAAGCTCCCTATTGTGTATTGCAATTTTATTTATGAGCACTAAAAAGAAGTTTGTAATTTTCAATGTGAAAAAAATGACGTGGGGTGAAAGCTTTCATTACGTGACAGAAGAACATACACTGTTATTTTATTCCAGTAATTTCTTTGCATGTTTTTCGCCCTGTTGGCGATATAAGTTTGCATTATCCTGCACTGTTAAATGTGTATTTTTTCTTTTGTCTTCTGTCGTCGTTAAGAAGGGTAGTCAGGAAATCATTCATAAGATGATGATCCATTTTAAATTGAACAATGCATGAAAATACGCAGACTCCTCGTATCTGCGTGGGTGACTTATTTCAATTATTTGTAATTAGAAATGTCTGAAAACAAATGATAGAAAGATATTAGTCAATTTAGATGAGGTGTGATTGTTGGTAGATTATAAGAGGGTTTTCACAAGTGTTAATGACCATCACAGTCACCCATGTACTGCAGCAGCTTACTTCTCCAACTGACTTCTTCTACCCATTATGTCTATACTATGTCAATGGCTCTTGGGAGTAGGTCGTTAGTGTTGATTCTAAGGTGTGGGGTGCCACCGTTTAATCCGCAACTATAACGTTAATCCGCCATAATCCCCGTGTCACGGGCCACGCTCGGGGGATTTTCGAGCACGGACGTGAATGGCCTGTCTAACGGTAAAGAAAATTCTATTGTTTTATATCACGATTAAGCGGATCATTGCCTTAGAATTGTAATACAAGTACTAATTACTAAAAACAATATACAGAAGTAACACTACAGGACTTTCTCCCAGTCCTTCATCGCTAACAACAGATTTCAGAAGATATTTACAATGCTTGTCAATGAAAAGTTATGTTACCGTTCAAACCACTTTAGAACTTGCTTGTTGGTTTAGTAATAAGCTCCTGGACCAAGTACCGAGGAAGCCAGGAAAGAAGTAAGCCACACGTCGGACATACAGATGTACAGTTCAATATTCACGTGTGAAGGGTCTGAGGCAGTGTATGTTGATACAGAGAGATTAATGAAGATTATTTTATATCTGTTTCAGAGGGTGTGGGCCTTTTTGTGCAGCCCGAACCGATACCCGTTATCAAAACACGTGGACCACAACCAACTATAACCTACATTCGATTAGGCGTAGTCCACGTGCCACCTGTTTTGGCTTCCCACTCCTCCACAATCATATCAAAATTCTCCTGACATCATGTGATAAGGCAATATTTGTATTTCGAAATAACTATCATTATAGCACAACTGGATCTATGCAAGGCGGTATGCCGGGTGCGCTGCTATGTCCTTGTTCATTACTGTCTTCGTCAATGCGTTATTCATTTTTGTTACATTCTCCATGACAAGGCAATATTTTCTTATTTTAATAAGTGGTGATGCGCGTTTTTACACAATACAGGTGTTGAATGCGAGGTCGTTTGGTGTACACCCAGGGAATTTCATGACGACGTGTAATTGACGACACGTGGTGCTTGCTGAAACGTCAGACACACGACACGCTCCCCTTGTCCTCCATATAGAGATGACTGTGTCACTCTCCCGAGGCACACTTTAGAAAGTTTAATATTTTAGTATTGTGTAATTACACTCATTTCCCGCGTATATAATATTAGTAACCTTTTCTCTTTGTTGCAATTAATGATAGATCAGTTCGTGATTTCACCTTACTAATTAACTAACGCCCTCTTTAATGCTGATATTATCATTCTAGTTAAAGACTGAATGGGTGACATTTTATTGCACTCTTTGTTTATGCAACCAAAGATCACACACACGAAGAATATTCTGTAAGTGCTCCGTAAGAATACACCCAGATGCAATCACACACAAATGTTTGTTATTTCCTGTGGGTTATGTTGTAGATTGTGACATACTACTGTGTACAAACTTTTCCTCTGTTAACACTTTGATGTAATGGGTTGGCATTAGTTGTTTCCGATCGACCACCCGGGACAGTGTGGGAAATGAGAAAACTCCTATACTTCCAACCGTATATTCACCACCCTGTCATTCATTAGCATAACCTCGCCGTGTTGTACATGTACATACTCACAGCATTAGCCATAGCGGCAGTGTTCGTGATGCACACAGAGAGGTATTCTATACACCCACCTACTGACATATAACTGTAATTATCACATCCTGATAGAATAGTTACGCCCTGGGCAGTATTAAGAACAAAGTAGATATGAGAACATAACTGTCAGAACGTGTCTCGTTACTTCATAATTACACATCAGAACAGGCAATTGAGTTCACATTGGACGTAATGACAAAAGAACACTTATAATGATTGTTGTGAAATAGACAATGCCGCTATAGACGGCAAAACAATGGCTCAACGTACTTGTTATGAAAGTCACGAGTTACTATTATTACGTGTATAAATTTTAGGGTCCGGTTAGCAATTTGGCATATGGTCACACTGCATATAATGTATATCTGATGAATATTTTACATGAGCACGTGCGTGTAATGGTACACAATATACTCCGAGTTAGAGTGGTTAGAGTGACCAACCCCTTTGTACAACACTGATTGGCTGGGTGCATGTCACTTATATTTGGATCAAGGCAAAGTCGCAACTGATAATGTCTTTCCATTTAAAAACAGTTTAATTTGTAATAAAACCAGACCTGTCAAAATAATCTGTGTGAAACAATCAGAATTTGAAGTTCCGTTTCATATAAAATCCTACTGTACAAGGTTATCAATTATCATAAACCCCATTTTCTGCTCCATGTGAGAAGAGTAAATTTAAAATATATTTAAAAATATAAAAAGAAGATCTACTTTCAATACATCAAAATATCATACATAAGAATATGACCCCGTTTAGTTATATCTCTTCGCTAAGGTGGGTAAATTGCACACTGAAAACACTCTGTTTATTCCTCCTGCATTACGCTGCAGTGAGTATGTAGATCCAGGGAGACGGGTTCCATTAGGATGGGGATTATTCATTCCGGTGCATAAGCTCCCTGCATCGCAGATTGCAACATCTGACGTCACTCGGTTTCGGTAGTTATAAAGTGGGTTGGATATTGGCTTTGATGTGCTTTTGGGGGCTTTGTTAGGGTTTGGTTTGTATTGATTGTTTAAAGGTGAAACAGAAATTGTCGCCGCCCTCACCAAACGTACACCAAACCTTGTCTCATACATAGACGTCCCATCTGTAATCGCTCCACACATACTACAGCGGCACGTAAATATCTCTGTACATAAGGAAGCACGGACTATCGATAAGTAAGATGTGACGTCACAGTGTCAGTCATGGGGGTGGGTGACGTCACGAACAATCCTATATGGGAATCGTCGGTGTTAACCACCCTGTAAACACATTATATATGACGGTGTTTAATGATACTGTTTGATATAAACTTAGTCATGGAAGCGTATTGTAGAACGTAAGATATGTAGCATCGTAGCATCATATCCTATACCCATGATATCAACCCAAACAGCTTCTTGTCTCCAAGTTGACAGACAACGGTGACATTTTGTAACATTCACCGACTTATGAAAACATCACATTAAACTACCTGTACATTTCACTAAGCCATTTACATATAATGGTATTATATACAAAGTAAGGTATTTAAATTTCCTCTTAAAATACTTCGACAAAACGTACATGAAACATATGTGCTTGTTATTATTTAGTTTGATATCATCTCAGTAAACGGAAAGATTATGTAAGCAAAGTTCAAATACATGCACTGCATTCAACGTTCATAAAGCCGGATTATCCGCATATTTTTTAATTCCGTCCGCCTAAAGAAAGTACGTTTGCACTGTGAGTATATCAAACGGTATTACGCATCAGAATTCCAAAGGCGTACTAAAGTTTCCAGAAATTTAGGGTGAAAGTGTTTTTCGTGGCAAGTGATTTTCCATTCATCTGAGGAAACCAAGGGTTCCGGTGCTGGTGATATGGAGGATGCCACGGAATTCCTTGACGTGACGTCACCGGTCACGTAGCCACCACCTTAATGCCGGCTCACGGTTTGTTGAAAACTAATGTCCCGAGTGTGAAACATCAATTTCCCCACATCCAGAGTGTAATTATATGTAGTGTGTGAGTAATAATGTTAAAGTGT